TGCGCATCAATTGGCTCCGGACCAGTTCTCTGGGGTGTAGGTGAGCGCTCACAAATGAACTGCGAGGGTTTGCCGCTAGAGGACACAGCTCCTCGCAACTCCTTTGCCTGCGTGGATAGGAAGCTTGCGCTTTCAGAGAATGAGGCTTTCCTAAGAAAGGGATCGGTGCGCCTCTACATCACCCCTGGGGCAAACTACAACCCCAGACTGTACAGGCAAGATCGCGCTCTGCTGATCTGTACTAGAGAAATTCGCTAGAAAGCGGACGAATACTCTTCACAGACCCAGGGTCAAAGGACTCAAGCATTGATTTGTGGGAGGAGAGAAAAGGTGAAATCCTAGCCTCTGGGTTGTATTGAATGGGGCTCTGAAGCTCCGGGGCTTTAGCTGGCTATTCCCTGTTGGACGAAGAAGAGTGAGAGGAGCCATGAAGGAAGTGTCAGAAAATAGAAGGTGGTAAAAATCCAAGCCAGGAGTTGTTCAGAGAAAGAAGAGGATAGGTGGGCAAGAAATTTGCAAAGAATGAAATCTACTACCCCCGTTTTTCAACTTGGCAATTTTCTGTTACATGCAGCCTCTGTGGATAATTTCAACCCCTGCAAAAAATAACTACCAGAATTTCTACTCCCGCTCGCTCTTTTTGTAAATTTTTCCACCACCACCCCATTCTCTTCCTTGTTTGGGGTCTGCTCCCAGCAGGGCCAAGCTTTCTCGTTTCTCCGCGGAAAGTGTGGATCAGTCTGTGAGCCCTCCAAAATGTGCGATGAGCCTGGTGATCTTTTTTCCCAAGGAACCATTTATTGCCTGCACTTCGACGCTGCTAGGGAAAGATGCGGAGAGTACCCCGAGGGGCCGCCAGTCAGCAGTGGGCCAGAGCCTGGCCCGGTCACTCTGCCCCTAAGGCTCAGGTTGGCTTGGGTTAAAGGGCACAGCCAAGGTCCGGAACGCCGACTTTTCTCACCAGTAAACAGCTGCCACCCAAATTATGTCCCTTAGGAAGCGAATGAATTGCTCCTTTTTCCCAGCTCCCTGCTGCAGTCCCCAGATCAGACTTCGCTTGGGGGGGGGGGCGCCCCCTTCCTCCGCCCCCAGTGACAAGTTCAGGGACCGCAGTGCCCCGCTGGGAGGTAGTTTATGGGAACTGTGGTCCGGAAACTTTGACCTGGTGGGGCACACCGCTCTTGGCCGGTTGCTCTAAGGGCGCCCTCCCGGTGGCTGCTCTAGGTACAGGGAACCGATGGCTGATGTGATGCTAGAGGTCCTGCGGGTGGCTAGTCCGGAATACGGAAATTGTCTCTGGGGCAGGACGAAGTTGCCTGGCGAGGGCGGCGGGGACGGAGTGTCGGGGGTGGGGTGGGGGTTAGCGTGGAGGATTGTTAAGTGCAGCCGGGTGGCGCTTCCCGAGTTGCGTTTAATTATGTTTGTAGGGGTTTTGGGGAGGGGTGGCTGCTGAGTTGGCCACCCGCGCCGAAGGAGTGTGGATTATCACTGGAGTGGGTGGCGTTGGTTGAGCCCGAGAGCTGCGTCTCTTACTGCTGCCTGCGGCTACCGCCGAATAACCCTCCTTTTTCAAACCTGAAACACAAAATCCGCCCCGGGCCGCGCGGGGTCCGGCTGGAGCAGCTGCGGCCCGGGGAAGCCTGGCCCTGCCGCGACGCCGAGCCCGCGCGCGCCTCTCAGCCTTGGGCTGGCGAGCTCCGTTCCGTCTCTCGCCGGGGTCAAGAAAAATCCAAGATGCAGGATCACGATTCTTCATGACAATCTATTACGCAAACTTGTAATCCGCCCTTTATCTTGTCCCCTTCTTTGTTCACCTTTCCAAATACACCCCCGGAGTTTTTTCCTTGTCCATGTTTCACATGGGCACCTCAATACGGTGCTTCCGGTCACCACCTAATTGGTTTTAAGACCCATTTGTCCATTATTGTCCGGTCCGGGCTTCCTGGGAGCAGCGTCTCTGCTCTTCCTCAACGCGCTTTGGAAATTTTCCTTAAAAATTGCTCTGGAGACAGTGTCTCCTCCGGCAGGGCTCTGGAGAGAACTCAGATATGTCGAATTCCCCCACCTCATGATCCTCACCTCCAGGATTTCAGTCACACTGGGTGGCGTCTGGGTCTACGCTGCCTAAGCCCCAAACTGGACTAGTACCGGGGAATTCGATCCACCAGGAAAGCCGGTCTGGGTTGGTAAGTGAAATAAGTGGTGGCCCCCGTGTCCTCTCTTTGGATGAGAATTTTTCAATGGGTTAAAAAAAAAACAAACTAGATTCTTTGCTGTCTAAAAATAAATGACTTTACTCACTATCTCAAGTCCTGCTGAGAATATTTAATCTACAATTCGTGAATGATTTTTTAAAATATCCAATTTCATTAATTCCCACTCCAAATTGCAACTTTGGCTTTTTTCTTCCGGAAGCTAGATCTGTATGTTCTATAAATACAAATTCCCCAGAGAGGGCGGGAGGGGGGGGGGAACTATTCATGAAGGCAGACAAATATCTCAGTAGGACTCTGCCATCTACACCTAACATTCCCCTTTAGGACTTTGCTTTAGGACGGTTGGGTGAGAAGTAGACTCGCTTCTGGTTTTGTTTTTACGTAGTGAAGGAGGAAGCTACAGATAAGCTATGGCATGGTAGAACCCATGTGCCCAAGCCAATCCGGCCAGTGCCATGAATTTACCCAAAATGGGTCGAAGGAGCCAGATCAGCTGTACCCAACACTTCAAAACTCCACAAAGTCTTTCTCGTCCTCCACCGCTTATTCTTGTTCCTCCTCCTTCTTCCCTTAGTGTTCTTCTCTAGAAATATCCTTCCTTCCCATTTCCCCATTCCGGGTGCAGAGAGCGAGGAAGCACAATCCGAAGCCGAAAAGTGGAAAGGTCAAGGGAACTAATTCCCGCAGCAGCCACTCCGGAGCTCAGGCGCCGGCGCTGGACAGCGCGGGAATCTGGCTGGAGAGGCGAGTGTTGGAGGACAGGTGGTCTGGAGACACAAGAGCCTGCTGTGGCTTCTTCTAACAAGGGAGCCAATTTCTCGGGAGGTGTGGTGGCATTCGAGCCAAGCCCCCGATGTTGGGGCTATGCTGGAGTAAACTGGCCGGTTGCAGCCCCTTGCACGAACCTATGCACGAAAACAGTGGCATCTCCACCAGCAGCAGCGATCTGGGGGCAGATTGGCCTGCATTACCAGTGGTCTCCAAGCAAGGTAACGCTGAAGAAAAGTTCACACGAACAAAAGCAGGAGGCTTACCAAGTACTGCCAGCACTTTCCCACCCTGACAGCAACTCTTCAAGGGGGATTTTTTTTTTTTTTGCCTCCATTTTACAGATAAGCAAAATGAGGATGGGA